CGGATTTGACGTAAAAGCATGGACTATTCTCGCAGTTACAATAGCAGCGAAGAGTTGAGAACAAAGTTTGAGAAGTGGAAGGTTTGACTTGTTATTCGCTCTAATTGTTTTAATTACTTCAGTCAAAATTTATCAAAAACATGCTCGTTATAACTTTCCTAATTGTGTAAAATTATCCTTTTTCTGCAGAAGGAATTGTCCTTCCTTAACAGTCATCAGCTAATAGGCTTCCATTTTACTGTGGTCAGTGGCACTGAATCGGAGGATAGCGAAGAGATATTCAGGTAAGATATTAAGAATATTCAACAAGACATTCATGATCAGTTTCCCGAATTACATATTGTTGTATTACCGAATCACATATTGTTGGAAATGTCACAGCAAAAGTGAACAGGGTTCGGTTGGCTTTGCTTTTTCTCTGATCTAATAAGACTGTGAAACATTGTTTGCTTGCAGTAATACATTCCTGGACATTCCGCTGAGTACGTTACGTTTACTTGATGAATCATCAGTAATTGGAGTTCGCCATCAGTCTTATGCCCATGACGGTCCTGTACATGCAATTGTTGGTTTTCGAAAATTTGGTGGAGAAGTTCTACCCGGGGAAAATGTTTCAGAGATATAATGATTGACTATTTCACAGACACAGTTCGGATGAATTTTGATGAATGATTCAGTTGTTTTTTTTCAGCAGTTAAGGCCATAAAGACATTGTTATGAAGATGTGATAAATATTTGGTAATATATAAAAACGAATGATTCATTTGAAGTGTCGAATATCATGCAAAATATGCAAACTAAACAGCCAATATGTTGATTACTGCATATTTTTTCAAAGTGCAGGCCATTGTTACAGTTAAACATTGTTACAGTTTCTTGCTTAATCGGACAATAGCAAAAGGATATACATTTGTTAATGATCTGAAACGCTATCATGTGAGTTAATCAAAGCTTAATGCATCAGTGTGCAACACTCCGAGGTATCATATTTATAGCGATGTGAAGGATTTCATTTTTTGAGCTTGGGTAAATGTATTTAGCGAATAGAAAAAATATCGTAGTTTGTTGTCCGGTGGTAGCGGATATGCGAAGATGTCGTTGTTTGTGGTTTCGTCACGAAGGATATGCGAACAGGATGTATTATCTGCTTGATTGTAAAAACTAAACTGTTTCGGATTTTTTCTTATATATATATATATATATATAGCTTATATTCTCTTCATTGCTTTAATTTTACTAACAAAATTTCACTACCCTGTCTGTTAGATATTGTGGACTAATTTCGGCAATCCCACATGAGCTATGAAAAATATTTTGTCTTTTACTTGCTATCAATGCTGATTTGTTCAGACAAATATTATATTATGGCAGTACTTTCAATGTTTAGTCTTTTTTTTCCTAAATAATTTTTTTTTATTTAATTTAGTTGTAATTTCGTCTTGCGATAGTATGTTTG